TGAGTTTAGAAAACTTTTTCCATCATTCACCCTACACAAAATAGAAACAAAAAATTAAATCCGAAAAGTAGTTGAGCAGTTAAATGTTTGCATTTCTGACTCTCAAAGAAAAAGCAGAAAATTTGAAGAAAATCTTCAATGTTCATTTCCGTAACTTTTATTCTTTCGGTCTTTGATAAAATATTGTAAAATGATTTCTTCGGGACATACAAAAATAAATAAATAAAGAAACTTTTAACAAGAATTCTTGTGCAACGATGATCGATGAACATGAAAGCATCAATGACGAGAAGTTTAAGCAAATAAATATCAATGATGAAGCTAAACTAACAAGGAAAATCTAAAATAAAAGTTGAATATCAAAAATTCAATTCAATTAATTTTCTTCACTGCTTTCCATTCATGTTGTGCTCGAATTTGAAGAGAAAAGATTTTTCCATTGATGAAATTCATTAGTTTTTGAAGATGTTTCCTATTTATGTAAATTTATTCAAAAGCATCTTGTGAGACGAGAAAATTGCTTGCAATGAGAGCCAAAAAGATTCAGGAAATGAGGTCATTGGCAATGAATCAGTTTCCTCTTCAACACTCATCACTTATGTGCGCATGATTAAGACGAAGTAGAATTTCAGGAGGGGAAAACTTTCACGACGATATTTTCTCGCTTGTTTCCTGTCTTCATCATTAAATATCTGACGTCTGTTTGCTTTTTAAAAACGGACACGTGAATTTATTTTCTCTCAAGCACAACAATGATGAAACATTTTTTTTTGCTATGATGAATCGACTGAGCTTTTCATCAAGAGATTAAGAGTTTTAAATGAATATAAAAGAATTGTCGGAAAAATGTTTTGTGCTTTAAACTTTCACTCATGAATGTCATGCATATTTGCAGTTGTTTAAAAATAATTTTTTAGAGCCATTTTAACGAGGAAACTGTTTCTGTGGTTGCAACTTGCAAGCATGTAAAGTTCATGAGAATCTTTTGCATTGTACTGTTGTGACCATCAAGCGTTACGTTTCAGTGATCTTAATTTAATTGTTGTTTATTTTATTTGTTCTCTTCTTACATAAGCTCGACTCGTAAGATTTTAAAACTTTCAACTTTTTTTAGTGAATATTTAAATTTAGAAATAAAGTTAATAAACATAAACATCAGTATTTCCATCTAGTAACATTAAAATTCTTTTAGCTGCAGCTTGTTTTGCGTCTTTCTTTAGTTTTCCTTCTCCAACGACTTCATGGCCGAGAAATTTGCATGTCATTGTGAATTTAGGATATTTCTTATTCGCATACATGAAGTTTTGTTCAAAAATAGGCTTTTCCAAGTGATTCTTTTGGCTAAACTCGTATAAAGTACTCACAGCATCTTTCTGTTTAGAATTCTTCAACATTTTATCATCAGAATCTTTAGTCGTTAATAGAGTTCCAAACACTGTAAATAGAAACGTTTTAATAATTTTTATTGAAAAATTATAAAAAGCCTTACTGGTCGTCATACGCTCAAACTCCATGGCAATTTCCTGCCCGTCTTGCAGCTTTTTAGGTGGAAGTTTCATGAGATATTCGATCTTTTCTGATGTTTCCTTCTTAAATTCGACCGCCCACTCATTTAATGTTTGCTCAACTACTGGATCAGAAGGCAACAAAAATTGAGTTGCCTTCAAATGTTTCAAACTTTCCGTAAAATTTTTTATCATTAAAAAAGCTTTTCCTTTTATGTATAAAGCTTCAAGATTGTATTCAATTGATGTAAGTTTTTCAAGTAAGTGGACATAAGTTAGAGCCAAACGTGGACTATTTTTCTTGATGCAACATAAAGCTATGTTCTGGTAGAATTCTTCCAAGGCGACTTTCTTTTTAAGTTCTTGAGCTTCATTAGAAGTCTTTGAATCGTTGAGAATCTTCAAGCCAATCTTGTAACTTTCTGTCGCTTCTTTATAGTTTTCTTGTTGATAGAAACTCAGCGCATGGTTACGGAAATCCAAAATAATCTTGAATTTTGAATTGAAGCTTTCATTTTTCATGGCATTTTGTTGAGAAAATTCAGCATAAAATATTTCTGCGATCATGTAAACATTTTTATTCAGTGGAAAACCGAGAAGATCGTGAGAAATCCAAAATTTTGCTTTCTCATAAAGTTTCATAGTTGCAAGGGCTTGTGTATATCCAGGTAAAGGTTCAACATCATTTTTGATATCAATAACTACTGATTTTTTATAGTCAAATGGTGTTTCAGAGTCTTCGTAGAATGTTTTGTAATTGTAAATAACTCGAAGATCTTCAAGACAATTGTTGAAAGTTTCTCCAGTTCCTTCTTTCAAAACAATCTTACTTATTCTATCATTGATTATTAACATGTGCTCTTTCAAAAATTGATTCGTCATTGAAAAGTTAATTTATTTTAATCAGAAGTAGCATTTAAACGTTTAAATCTTAATTTACTGATGTCATTTGTCAGCTTCAAAAAAAGACCAAAGTGAAGTTAGCAGCATTTGAAAATTCAAATTTAACGTTACTGACTTCAATTGATATTTAGTTAATTATTAATAGATACCTAATTTAGTTTACCTACCTAGTTACGTTTCAATTTTTGCTCTTTCAACTTGTTTTTTTGTAGTGTTTGGTAACAATTTATTGACATTCGCTGAATAAATTAAACGCTTCCAAACAAATTTGTTATCTGTCATGCCAGTTGTTGCTATATGAAAGCAAATTATCAGACAGAAAAACATTTGATGACACAAATTATCGCCGTATGATATGTCTTTATTTAAAAATTATTCATTCTAAAACCTGTTCCGTCTTTATTCAAAAATTATCAAAAATTACAGACATCTTTAAGCTATTAAAGCACTTTTGAGAATCATTTTACGTATGAGATGTCTAAATGTTAAATGTCACCTTTGTTTGTTAACAAAATAAAGTAAGAAAATGTTAAGATTATTTCACCCTATTGAACCTTAAAATTATGGATATCTAACATTACAAACAGGGGATAAACAACCCTTTTTACTCTCCCCTCATGTTACATGACAATGTGTATTTATAGGAACACTTAACATGTTTCTTCCTTTATCTGAGATAAGCTTTTATGAATTGTGTGACGAGTGGGAAAATAAAGTTTCTAAGTTTCTTAGGTAAACTTTCTTTCAAGCAATTTTTGCAGACGGTTAGGCTGTCAAAATAAACAAGATTAAAACAGCAAAGGTTTTGATAGTTCACGATATATTCCACTTATCTAAATGTTCATAAATTATATTATTAATTTTAAGCTTAAATAATAATATTTATCTTATTAATGACTTTAAGGCATTTGTCGGTTCTAAAAGATTAATATCAACATGGAAAATTATTAAAACTTCATGCAAAGCTCGTGGCGGTAAAGATTTGATAAACAAGGATTAAATTAAAATGATTCATTATGAAAACACAAAACAATTTTCTGGTTGCCTGACTACAAAAGCATGAAAATTACTTCAATTGTTATCTTGTGTTTACTGAATACGTTCAAAGGAGATTTTTCCTTTTATTACATTTTTTATAATAAATTTAATTAACTGATAACAATTCATCAAAGTGACTTGACGGTCTTCTCATTATTAAGGAATTAAATTTACTTTATTTCATTCCCTTAAAACATGTCCTTGAATGTGTTTGCATAAATTAAAAACAATCACAAAATATTCTTTAAAATTTATGTCAACTCATACATATTAATGTAAGTGATAAGCTAATGTACCATAATGGCAATATTTAAATCATTTTCTGAGAATATTTTAACGATCTTTATTATGAAATATGCGTATGATGGTGTCTTAATGACATGCCTTAGAAGAGAAGAAGATTAGAAAAGATTAATGAGCCAATTAGCAAATATTTTATATTGTATCAAATAATTGAAAGTAAATGTCATTCGTGACGTTTCTCTTTGGTGATGAAACTTTAAAAAGATATAAAAATATAAAATTTGGATTATTTTATTCCACCATTATAAGCTTCAATCTTATCTTCAACAATAAATATTCATTAAAGTGACATTTTATGTTTCATTCACCGTTTATTGCAGTTTACCTCGACTGGAGATATTATTTAAAGTTTTCCACGTTCAGGGAGTAGTTTGAGCTCGGGTCAGATTAGACGAATGATTTATAGATAAAAACACAGCATCAGCTACATGTAGCAGTAAGTTGCAAAATGTACGTCGAAAGATTAAAGCCAGTTTACTTTAAAGATATCACCACATGGCGACAGTATTTTATTTGATAAAAAGATCATGCATGTCCATTTCTGCAGTCATAAAAATATGTTGCCAAGATATTTCTTTCCTGATACAGCCAGAAGATTGCCTTCAACCTTTTCTGTCGTCTTAAGTGTGTTCATAAATAATTTAACACAGCATTTGCCGGACTTTATAGCGCAATTTATGTCGGGAATTATTTTCCTTTCAGATTTTTATTCTTGTTTTATTGAGAGGTTTATGGAAAAGTCAAAGTCAAAGTGGAAAATAAAAAGGAAAATTTTTGTTCGTCTTTCTCATGAAATTCCAAAAATATTCATATGAAGGCACTTACGACCCGGTGTGCATGTGTAATGTCGTTGAAAAGGTTATGACTGTGAAATTGATATTGAAAAGGTAAACGAAGCTTAAATCGGAAATCAATGGCAATGCTATAGCAGCGACTACAAAGAACTTCACCTGAATTTTTATGATGTCAATGAATTTTCTATCACATCGACTTCGTCAGACACTTCAGGCAAAACAGTTCAGTGTTTAAAACTTTTCAATTAACTGCAAAAGAATTGAATAACTTAAAATTAATGCAGAGAAAGTCAGAATTATGTTTGATCAAAGTTTATTAAGTAGAATAATTGAGAATGATAAACAGTTACAAGAGACAAAACTTCACTTGGCATTCGCTTTTTCTCTTGTTTTTCTTTCATGAATTGCCACTTTACGACAATCCCGAAATTATTCTCATTGTTTAAATCTTTATCCATAAAACGTTCCGCAACATAAATCTGAGCCAGTTCTTGGGTTCACAAAACTTTGTCACGATGATATTATCGTTTTGTTGCGGGGTTGCTTTGCGTAGATTCTCTGAAATGTTAATTTGTAACTTTATATCTGTCATTATTAGGCAAATTTCTCAAAGCAACAGAAGCTTCCTCGAACTTCTTGTATCCCTTGACTTCCCTCATTTTATTTTAGGATGAAACAAGAGTTAGAAAATGCTCTTGTGTTGTTATGCTACTCATTTACCATTATACCGGCAATTATTCTTACCTTCCTTTATTCTAATAAAATTCCAAGCTTTCCCAAATCATGGCTAAAACAGGAATGCGGTTTGGTACGCTGCTTGCGTCAAGACTGAGAATTTTAATTTTGAATCTTTCACTTCTACATTCCTAATTTCTTTTGAGGCCATTTTATGACAATGGAATTTATTTCCATCAACCACAATGAGAATGTTGCGAAACCTTTACCATATTTTACATTTTCCAAAGCAGCGAAAATCCCAAAACTAATTGCAATTCAAGCAAAATGATATCCTTAAAACTTTTCCCTTATCTATTTATTAGCTTGAAATTATCCGCTACCTCTCTTAACGGGAGCATCACGTTTATGAAATTTCTCGTTATTAACTTTGTGAACTCTTCGAGAAGTTCCAACCAATTTAGAGACTTTCATCCCCTCATAAATTTATTTTTTCCCACGAAGAAAAGGAAAAGTCAGCAGCGGAGATAATCTTTCGGAACCGAACATGAATTAAACATTACACTGAGGGAAATACTTGACTTCTCACAATTCCATTTCTCACACAATGCTATTTTTGACTGCGTTGCAGCACATAAATTTGTATTGTGTTAAGACAATTAAAATTAACTACTCTGCAGAATTATTTAGCTTCCCACAAAACAATTTCTAACTTACCACCAGAATTTAAATTCGCCTCCCAAAAAAAAA